CCCCCTCCGTGTGTCAACATTTTTAAGACAAAGTTGATCAACTTTGCCAAATTCCTATATAAAAGCAGTTGTACAATGCAGGCAGTACATTTCTAATTAGAAAACTTGGTTTTACTTTGCCTATTAAAAATGTTTATAACATTGACTTGAATCTAAGAGGACAGCTGGCTGTTTAACTATTTGTCTTAACTGAAAGGGAAACATGAGTAGATCTCTGATTCTTAGTAATTTTCACCCGTTCCTCTTAATTCATTCTTCAGCTACCAAGACTTCATTCAAAAAATGTTTAATAATTTCAGATAAATTAAAAATATGACATTTAGGTAGCATTTTGATTTTGGTCATTGGTGGATATTTCTTATCAACTACTCTAGCTGTAACCTTCTCTCTCCTGAAAGGATCTGTGTTTCTTCTGTGGTATCTCCCACGTAGTAGACAACAATGTTTGTTGACTGAATGAGTGGATGAAACAGGTTATTTAGAATTTTATATATGTACAATAGCTACTAAAGCTTTTGAAGGTACAGCAGTTGCCAAGGATTTGGTTAGCAGGTTGGTTTAAAAACTGTTATAGAGGGGTGCCTGGGTGGCTCAGTCAGTTAAGCGTCTGCCTTTGGCCCAGGTCATGATCCCAGGGTCCTGGGATCGAGCCCTGCATCGGGCTCCCTGCTCGGCTGGAAGCCTGCTTCTCCCTCTCCTACCCGCTCATGCTCTCTTTTGCTATCTCTGTCTCTCTGTCCCTATCTCAAATAAATAAATAAAATTAAAAAAAAAACTGTTATAGAAATAAAGCATATGAGGCGCCTGGGTGGCTCAGTCAGTTAAGCGATTGCCTTTGGCTCAGGTCAGATCCTGGAGTCCCAGGATCCAGTCCCGCATCAGGCTCCCTGCTCAGTGGGGAGTCCGCTTCTTCCTCTGACCCTCACCCCTCTCGTGCTCTCTCTCTCTCATGCTCTCTCTCTTTCTCTCTCAAATAAATAAAATCTTAAAAAAAAAGAAATCAAGCATATATAGTAGGAAAAATAGGAGAGAATAGGTTGAGTTAATGAGAGGGAAACTTATAAGAATAAGTAAATAAAGGAATTTGAATAGAATAATGCTAATTTTATTGTAAAGGTGTTTATAAATGAATATACAAGTTTTCCATATTTTCACATTCATGTATAAATTCATCTTTTTAGAAATAGAGCAAGAGTGCACATAAAACATTTGCAAAGCTTTATTTTAAAGTTATGATGTATCTTTTTCTTATGCAAGTAAAGATGTATGAATTTTCCATTCAGTAATCACTAATTGAGTACTTACAGTATGTCGTGCTAAGTCCTGTGGATGGATGAATAAAACATTGCCACTCAAGATGTTCACAGGCTGCTAGGGAAGATTGTCACACACAGCGCTGTTAATGCAAAGCTGACCATGGTTAGCACACCAGAGAGTTTTGAATGAAGTGATTTAGTGTCAGGGCTTATGATTAGTATCAAACTAGAGCAATTCCAAAGAGCTTTACAAAAGGAGCAGTGCTTGAGTTGGGATCCTTTAAAGATGGCCCAGAGTCTGCTACTGAGAGCAAAGGATGATATGCATTCTAGGCAGAAAAGCAGGGTGTTTTTTGTATGTCCTATTTGTGCAGTTCTTTTGTCATTTGTTGCTAGCCCAATATGGCCAAGGGGTTCAAACCAGCACATCTCATCACATCTTGTGCAAAGTCTCATGCATGGAAGGCACTCAGCAAATGTTGGTTTTGAGTATCTGAATGAATAAATGAACACACTTATAGATCCTTCTTAATATGCAACAATAATTTCAAGAAAAATTATACTTCATGGAGGGTTATTTTCTTTACCTGATTATATCTATGCAATTCAAAGGAAAATTTAAACTTTGTAAACTCTGATTAATATTCATCTCACCAAATTTTAGGAAAATAAAGCTGTGGTCTTTATTCCTATCACTCTGCACTTCTCTCTATATACTTAATTTCTACACTTTCTTTGGTTTGTTTAGGTGCATGAGTTCAAATATATTCCCCCCTCCTTTTTTTTGTTTTTTAGTCTAAAACAAAAACATTCTTGAACTGAGGCTGCAGTGCTGTTTATATATGAAGTGGTGTTTGGGTTGATATTTTGTATTTCCCCTTTAGAAGCCAAACGAACTCATCCTGTTATACACATTCCACATTCTCCAGTTAAAACCTACAACACAATGATAGAAAATAGGCAAATATTTCATATTGGAAAGGGTCCAGTAATGTCTGGAGGAATTATCTGGGTTTTAAGGAGATTGCATGAACATTTGTGCTACAAATGAGAGTTGGGTTATTTTAGTTCCGGTAGCTTTAGCCAATTAAAATTTGTCACTGTTTTGAGCCCCTTCTCCCTTTCTTTCCTCTTTAGATTCAGCGTGTCTTGGAAATCCAAATATGTTAGAGTATGATTCCTTTGGTATTTTTCCCCCTTTGGAAGCCAAAACAAAACTCTTTAGAACATCACAGTCCCAAAGGGAAGCTGCAAGACTTAAAAGTGTGATCACAGCTACCTTTTCTGGGATCCCAGTCTGAATCTAGAGTTAACACACAAGAAGCACAGTTTTTATCTCTGCAGTTCTTCAGGGAGGGTAATACCAGTATTGCACATTTGGTATTTTATTGTATGGGATCACCCTTGATTCCCAGAACAACCTAGAGAGATAAGCGGGATAAATATCTCCATCCCCATTTGATAAACAAGGCTCTGCCATTTACTTAACAAGAAAGGAGATGACTCGTCAAAGTCCACAGCTGATAAATTGGATGAGCTGGAACTAGAACTAAGGTCACTGCTTCTGCCTCTTTATTACAATGCCTTAGTGCTTTCTTGTGCTGGGTTACTTGTAAGCTGTGAGGAAATATGGAAAGCAAAGGAAAGAGAAGAGTAGTGAAATTATTTGAAAACTACCTTAATAGATGGCTAGCATAATGCTGTTGGCATTTGGGAGACAAGATACTTTATTTGAGAATAATGATTCAGTATTTCCACTATGTATAATTCTTGGGGTTCATACAAATGAAAAGTTCAGTGAGTGTCCCAACATGAATGATCTGTGCAATATGGACTGGAAGGGGCATGTGTCAAACCAGGGAACCTAGTGAGAGGTGTCTTAACATCTCTAAGAACTGATAGGGTGGAGGAAGGTGTGGGCCTGTGGGAATGGAATTGGAAGGGTGAGCTGAGGATCATTCTGAGCCTGAAATAGACAGAACTTGGTGGTTTATGAGGAAGAGGGGAGAGGAGAAAACAGCAGACAGCCCTGGACTCTTTCCTGCTCTGAATAACCCTCGTCAAGTTAGGCGGCACATACAAGCATAGGTTATTGATGCTCCTGGCCCCACGTTTTGTAGAAAAAGGAACAGATAAATCTCTGTAACATGAAACATGGTGCTCTCATCTAGGACAACTAGGCATTTACCATGTGCTCACATATGTAGACTGCCCAGGCAAAAGGGGGTCTGGTTCACCCAGTGATCAGTTGTAGCCACCTCCATCAGGAATATATGTGGAAATGAAAATAACCAAGTTGTTTTCTGTATTATTAGTTGTAAAATAGGGGTTTTTGATATATAAGTACTGAAAAGGATATGAACAGGAAAACCAAGCAAGTGGGTCGGATGCCTATTCACAGCAAGTTTTCAAGTTACCTCTTGATTTCAAGGCATTACATGCAGGCTGAATTTTATGGGGTTTGTTTTCTCTTCCAGAACGCCAAATATTATGGGAAAGACAATGTTCTTGCTCCTTGGCATTGGAATTCAAAGATGGACTGCTGTGGGGATTTATTGCTTTTAAAATCACACATTTGAGAAAGGTTGTCACTCAGCTCATGAATCTATTTTCAGTGGAAATTTGAAAAGCTGAATAAAAATATATATCTTGCTGTATTGTTGATTTTACCATTTAGTAAGAATGTGTGTGACTGCTCTTGTTACCCAGTCTTAGAAGCAAAACAGAAGACAGATTGCTCAGAATACAGTTGATGAGTTTGAACAGTGAACAAATAAGAAGAAACACACTCCTCATTTATAAGGGAGTATTGAACTGCTTACTCAAGGAAATTTATCCGCTTCCTGCTATAAATCAGAAGAGTATAAAAAAGAAATCAGGATGAGGAATGAAAAAATAACAATGAATGTTGTTTTAAAATTGTGTGGCATTGTGTTGTTGAATTAGACAGTGTTATTGCCTCAGGAACCATTTATTCTTTTCCAGAAGAGACAAGGAATGAGAGATGTTAATCTTAATAAATCTTTTTTCCCCTTTGTTTCTTTCAGGGATCACAGTATACTGAAAGGCACTCGATCAAGAGAGCTCTGGGGGAAGCTGGGAACCATCAAGTTATTGAGGCCACACAGGGGGCAGAAAGACAGAGGTAGGTAGGCTTTTGATCCATCAATCCTGCTGTTGAGGATGTCCCTAAAAATATCTTTGTTACTATAAAGCCAGAGGACAGCCAACAAGAGGTATGGTGGTAGGTCTTTATTTTAGAAAACAGATCAATACAGTTTAATCGCAGCTTAATAGAATCTATTGTTATTGTCAAATTAATAGCAAATAATGCATGCTGAGAATTTGAGATAGACATTTTCATCCTGTGTTTGCCAGAGACCAGTGATTAGTACAGAGACCGAGCTTGGTTTGATATTTACATTCTTAGCTGTGCTTATTTAAGTTGTTCTTAGCAGAGGAAGTCAGCATACCAAAATAATGTTTTAAATTTATAGCCTTTAAAACAGAAGAGAAAGTCATTATATTACCTATCGGGTCAATTTTAATCTCCTCAGAGACCATAGTAAATACAAGCAAATATTTCTTGATGACACTGATTGGTATTCATAAATATGAAATACTCTTTTTTTGAGAAACACATTTCTTTGTGCTGGTGATATGTGTCTATATATCCATGTATATCACATATTTCATATTTATAAATAACATATATATGACAATGATGTATATATATATATATATGACACCCATTTGTGCAGGTGACTATGAATATATATATAGATCTCTGCATATACTCATATGTATATATAGTATATATATTGTATGTATCTATATTTATATCTGTATATGCTTATATTCATCTATCATGGGCCCTTTAAAAATGAGGCTACATTCATGTTGCAATCTTAATATTTCACGAAAATTCTGTTATGTTCGTAGGACTTATATTTGAGGCCACTTCAATCTCTTAGTGCTGCGTTCTCCCAGCCAGAGAGAGAGACTGACCGCCCTGTTGCAGTTCAGATGGCTGATCAGAAAACATGGAGTAAGCCTCAGCCTTTGTGAAGGTTCTAACATTCTCTTCCCACTCTCAGATTCCCATGAGAACAAAAAGCTCCAAGGGAACAGGAAAGAGTGGAAGACATTAAATTTCGTTTAGGCTCATTGCTTGTTTTTCTCAAAACCAGTACAACTTTTTTTTTTTTTAATAACCCATAGTAATTTCATGTAGACAGTGGCAATATGTTCGTTTTCATGTGTTATCAGAGCATTTTTACTTTCATGTCCACCTTTAAATTTATTACTGCAGAAAGTAACATGTCTTAATTGAAATGTACCTTTTATTAGGAAGCAATTTATACCAATAACTTTATCAAAAACATTTCTCTTTCTCTCTCTCTCTCTATATATAACTAAAATTTTATTCTTCTGTGTTTTCTTGCTTATTCCCCACCAACCATTGGAAACTCCATGAGAACAGGACATTTTACTGATTATATAACTAAAATTTCCATACTAAGAAAAAATAGCAAATAAAGTTGTAAACTTTAATTTTGTATTTCAGAAAAATTGAGACTAACATAAAATAATTTATTGAGTCTTTATTGTGGGTGGAGTGTATAGTGGTTTATAAACATAATCTCCTGTAATCCTCATAAAAAACTCCATGTGAGGAAGGTAAGGAAAGTATGATTTTTCCCTGTGATAAAAATGCACCTTGCCAAGTGCACACATTTAGCCAGTGGGTGGTGAAGTTAGGATTTGAGCCTAATTTTGTCTGATGCTTAAGCCTATGTTCTTGACCAGCTTGGGTAGGAAGATTTGGCAGGAGCTAAAATATCCTGTTTAGATGAGCAAAGTATCTTGTTTTCATCAGGTATTTATAATCAGTGGTTGAAAATACACATTTTTTTTCAGGAACACATTATCCCATTCTCTATGAACTCTACAAAAGAGATGAACATTTTTCTGATTCATTTAATAAAAAGCATAACACTAAAAAAAACAAAAACAAAAAAACCTCCCCCAAACAGTAATAAAAGTAGGACAAAAAAGAGAATCACAGAAATTCATTGATTCAACTGGATATAGGAATGTAGAAATCAACAAAATAGAATAATACAACAAATGATGTTTATTCTGGGAATGTAAAAGTGGTTCAATATTGGGAAATTTATTAAAATAATTTCATAGTTATAGGCTAAAGAATAGAACTCCTCCTTTTTATTTCCTAATAGAATTCCAAATAACATTTGATAAAATGCAACTGTATTTCTTTTAATAAGACACACATACATACAACATAGTAATTTAGAAATAATGAGATATTATTAAATTGTGAAAAAGCAATTTCAAGAAAACAGAAAAATGTTAGAGGCTTACTGGGTGTCCGATTTCATCATTTACAGTTAACATCATTCTATAAATTCTAGCCAATACAACAAATTTTAAAAATGACTAACATTTTTAAAGTTCTTATTATATATGCTAGAAACTATTCTAAATACTTTACAAATATTAACTCATTTAACCTTCACAATCCTAGGATATGAACTATTATCATCTTCATTTTATAAATCAAGAAGCCAAGGCCCAGAGAAGCTAAGTAACTTGGCCAAGGTCACACAGCTAGTAAGTGGTAGAACTGATTAGAACTAAAGCAGTTTAACTCCTGTGTCTCTCAAAGGTTATAATTATTAGAAAAGAGGAGACATCTTTTCGCTTAAAAATGTTTACATTTTTTACTAAAAAGCCCAGGAAAATTAACTGAAGAACTATTAGAATAAGAAACTTTGTTAAGTGGCCATACAAAAGACAAGTGTGAATAAATCTGTTGACTTTTCTATAACAGCTGAAACATGATGAAGAAATCCCATTTATAACAGCAATGAAATATTACAATCTATCAGTAAACTGTATAAGAAATGTGTAAGACTTAAATGAAGACGATAATAACATTTTATTGAGAAACACAAAATAAGATTAGCAGTAATGGAGATTTACATTGTATTCCTGGATGAGAATAGCAGATATTGTAATGGTGTTGGATTCCCCAAATTAATTTACAAAAATTAGTGCAATTCCATTTAAAAACAGAGATTTTTAGTGAGATTTTGGCAAAATGATTTTTAAAATTCATGTGGAAGAAAGGGAAAACACATTTTTGAGAAAGAATAATGAAGAAGGAATTTCATTTCCAAGTATTAAAAAAGATTATAAACTTGCAACTACTAAGATGGTATAGCACTTTTTACTAAAATAGAGACTTAGAGGAACTAAGCTTGAAAATTCCCCAAACAGATTTAAGCATATAAGATGATGTTTAATAAAGACAGCATTTCATGTTGGTGGAGAAAATACTATTACCTGAACACAGTTCCAATAGTTGGTTAATGTTAGGAAAAACTCTGAAGTTGGATCCTTTATTCATACAATATACAAATATCTATCAGATTAAAGAAGAAAAAAAACAGTGAGACATAACTAGAAGAAAATAGATTGGTGAATACTTTTATAATCTTGTCTAATATGACATCAAAGATAGAAACCATAATTGAAGCTTGATAGACTTGAATATGAACATATCAAAACTTCTGTACATATAAGGAGAAAAAAGACTCAAGCAGCATGCTTAACAATGTGAAATTTGAAAATTCTTTTTTCTTGATTTTTTGGGAATTAATAGATCAGCAAGTTCTGACTAATATTCCAAATACACTACTGTCTGAAGGCTTAATAAAGCGGAACCCATCCTGGAATAGTCGTCATTTGGTACTGTACCTGCTGTAGGCACAGAGCATTACCGACATTTTTGTAGAGGGAATATACAGTATGTCTTAGCTAAAAATAAAGATGGGATTCCAGAGATGACCAAATAGTGACATAGAAATTAGAATTATTCCAGCTAAAAAGGTCAACTAAATTTGAGTTATACATTCCAGGAGAGTAAGGGATTTCAGCTAGACAGTTTTATAATTCTTAACATATGCCAATATGTTAAGAATTACTTTCAATAGAAGTAATTTACAACATCACTGAGTAATGTTTGAATTTATATAATGTGTTAAAATATGTTATCTCTAATAAAGCTGAAATCATTACAGTTTCCTGCTTGGATTGTAGTATAGTTGATAATTGCAGAGGGGTGTTACAATGATCAAATTTGGAGAGAAGTATTTCCTGTTTTATTGTAGAGTATGGTGCAAGAAAGATTGTTTTCTTCCTCTCCCTCCAGAGTAGCTTTGCTCCATCAATGCTGAGGCCCTAGAGCAAGTGGGAAAGCAAAATTCATTGTCATCAATGGACAATGAAATAAAGAAAAAAAGTTTTACTTTATTTTAAATATCCCAGGTGATATCAGCTTGGACTATGACAATTCACACTAATACTAACAAAACAATAATTTTCTATCCTGGAACCTGTTAGAAAAATTGCTAAACTCCGAGCCCCAAATGTCTCATGAGAAAGAGGAAGCAGTAAGCTCATGAACTTCCTAGGGTCTTTTTTTCTGTTCACATCCAGTCCTTCTCAGTGTCTCTGGTCAATGTGTAGATACCTGGCCACTGCTCTTCCTCCAGAGGTCACTCCCCCTGCCCCATGCCTTTCTGTAGTGGTTCCTCAGCTGACATGGACACCCTCCCCTCCTGCCGTCTCTTCCCCATCTGTGATGGCTTTTTGACTCCAGGGTCAAATTGCTCAATGTTCTACACTCAGCCACTTTCCCCTCCTTTCTAACCTGACCATTGCCCTTGGATCAGGTTTGTTTCTTCGACTCTCTTCAGCTACCAACTCTAAAGATGTTTCTCCTTCTCTGACATAAGAGTGGGGCTGTTAATAGGTGGCTTTTTCTCTTAGAGGTCTTGGTTTGGGGATTGGCTAAAAGCCATTATCAGTGTCCTTCCTATAAAAACTTTTAAGTATTCATGAAGTTATATCCTTGGCAGATTTATCCATTCATCCTGCTGGCTCATGAGACATGCCTGGAAATGTCTGAATCTTAAAAGAAATAATGCCGCTTAGACCCTAGCTCTAATAACCCTGCTAAACAAATATTTGTTTATGCATGTATTTTATTTGTTCATAGATATACACTTAGTATATATGTATTATTGACCATCCTCAGAAAAAGGCCTGGAACTAGCCAAAAGAAATGTATAGAACTTTTTCTTCCCATAATAAAAGCAAAAGAGAAGCTTCACCATTTTGTGTTCAGAGTAAAAAAACCCAAACAAGCACAGCCCTAAAGACAGAGAAATAAATCTTGTTGATTTTCGTGCTAGCCGGACTGTCATCTTTGAAGATTGTTAGAAAACTATTTGTAAGCGGTTAGTTCTGGAGGGGAAAATGGGCAACCAAACAAGTAACAACCAACCAACAAAAGAGCAGAGCACACAGACACCCCCGTAATGGGGGAGAAAAGGGAACACATTCATAGAATGGAGGTGGTCATTGACAGTTTAGCACTAATTGTTAGTGATCAAAATAATAGTCATTTAATGTTCGTGGTGTTCGCAAAACTCATTTTCTCATTTCTTGGTTCAGTGAGTATTTACTGAGCACTTACCCCATTTACCCTGTGCCAGGCTCTGTTGTGAGCGCTGAGGATACACAGCAGAAGACACTTTGCAATTCCCCAGGGTCTGCGAACTGCCAGAACTGTGAGGAGAGGCTGACATTTATTTAGTAGTTTGGGGAGGTCTTGCGGAGGACATGCTAACTTTCTTCAGTTATGTGAGGAATATCATCTGTTCTGCGTGATTGAGAAGGAAAACTAGGTTGAGTGGGTGGGAATCAGAGGAAGACCCATTTTTATTTAATCAAAGTAAAAGCTCCCTGAAGTTAATAATAAGCTACTCTGGTCATTGAGATGGTTCCACCACTAGGAAAGAATGTGGCACAAGGAATTAATATATAGGATGGTAAGGGGCTGGGGATGGAGGGTGTTAGTTAACTTATCTCTGATGAAAGTTCTAGGATCTGTTATTGAGATCGTTGATATAATAAGGGCTCCCCTGAAGACAACTCAGTGAGAGACTCTAAGACTGCTTTGGAATCAGGCACACCAGC